AATGTCAACAGTGGTTCGAGGACATGAAGCGCTTAGTCACAGCCGTCCTTGTGTCTGCCTCTTGCTGGACTACTTGGGCACCAACGAAGGGGAGGTTCCAACGATCACAAATTTTTACAAAAGTCAAGGCGCCCACCAAGGCACCATGGACAGACTGGTTGTTCCCAACTTTCGCTCAACTGGCTGGCCTCCCGTACACACCTACCATGTCGTGATACATTTATCAGGCCGTGATTATATTCCATCTCCGTCGCTCCATCTCCGTCGCTTCGTCAGGATATGACGGAGACCAAGTTGGTGGGGAAAAAAAATGCGGAGTTGTGAAAGCGAGGAAGCGTCGTTCGACTTGGCGTTGCTGGGCATTCAGACGGTGTTGTTACGATTTGACTGGCGGGATGTGGACGGGGATACGCCCGTAATGTTGGTTCCGTTATCCTCGATTAAGGCTTGCAAGCCAGGGGTGAACCCGAAAGCGCTGGTCGGAGCGTGCTTATCAACGGAGGCACTGATGAGCCGAGTGAGGAGCACAGTGTTTACAGAAAAGCAGAAACATAAAGTACGAGACAATACCCCTAGCACATATCGTGAGGGAATGGAGGAAGAGACCCAGCTTCGCGAGAACCAGCTTCTTCGCGATGGGTTGGAAAGAATCCCGTTGCGCGTGCTAACTGCCTTAGACAGAAATCGAGTTGCTTGGTACTCAAACCACACCCACCCTTTCAAAGCACACTCGAAGACGGCCCTAGACTCGACAGACCACCTCGGTAAAGGCTATATATCCAGCCTCTACGCCGATGACCAGGCATTCCTTGGACTCATTGCCCAGCCTCACTTACTCGCTGGACATCGAGCCTCGAACCCTGTCGGAAACACGAACACCGCGATGGGCTCCACATCCAAGACCAGTATCGTGGGCAGACAAGATACGACCGTGCCCGAGTTCACGATCGATATGAACCCCGTACACACGACCGCTCCGATGACGAGCATGCAGTTGGACGGCGAGTTCAGGGGGCGGTTCGCTGTCAATGGCTGGACAACCGAAATCCAGACCGGGCCTTGGATGTCTCTCACTGACGCACTCTCCGCCATACGGCACATCCCTGTTCCAACCACTCAAGAACCATCACCGTCTCAAGTAGAGTTCCTGCCTATTGCTCAATTTGACGGACTGACCCTGACCCCTAAAAACAACTCCCACTTTTCAGCAGACTAACAACCAAGACCGAAACCACCTCTCCGATTTTAAAGACCGGGGGGGCGGGATTTAAAATCGACAAATTTGTCAATGGTCAAGGCACCGCAATTGAAGGATCTCGGCACCGCACTCGATGTCATGGTCACCAACCAACGCAAAGACAAAAACAAAGTAAACCGATTCAATCTCAACCCATGCTGGCTGGCTCACCTCAGACGCGCCTGGTGCTCAAACAGTCTTGCGACGGCAAAATCAGAGCGAAAGCTACCAATGATCAGCATGTAAGATTCCACCCCACCCACTCCACCCGTCGCAACCTTCAGACCATCACGTACGACGTGAAGGACTCTGACGACTTACGCGAGCTCGAAAAGGCATTGGGCAAATTTCTGCGGCAACTTTTTTAAATCTAAATCTGCAGGCGGATGGTCCTGCCGGCAGAAGAT